TGGAGAGGGTGACTCGCAATGGCGACTGCCTGGAGTTGATTGTGCAGATGGAAAGAGGGGTTGAAGCGCAAAGAGGCGGAGGTAGGGAGGGTAAGTACAAGCACCCAGCACCAAGAAACAAGGAATCAGTAGATCCTGTTCGACTACCAAGGTATTTTGACAAGAATGAATGCAAATATGAAGTTGGCCAGACGAGTCTGTTTAGGTACAGTATGTAGAGTATGATGCAGCGTTGCTCGGCGACTGGTTCTGTCACTGCCACTGCCAAAGACGACTGGCAGATCACTGCTCAAGCCACTGGAGCAGCTTATAACATAGGTAGAGACACACAGATCTCCCTTCAGTTTGCTATTAGTTGAATTATTTAGCAGTAGCCTCGCCTTACCCAGTTTTACCTGGCTTTTCGCTCTGTCAATCAAGCATCTCGTATGAGAAGGAACACACCTCGGATAGTCAAATGCTGTCCTCTGAGGCAACAGGAAACACACATATCTGCCTCTTATGTGATGTTCTAAAGAAAGCAAAACAACTGGTGGCAAGTTCGACGTTGAGAAAGATGATTTATACCAGATGGATCAAGAATGGTTTGTCAAACATAGATACAAACTATCAAACTTCTCTTCAACAAGTTAGCATCCGGTATGGTGTAGTGGCTAACATTTCGCGCTCTCATAACCTGAGAGATCAGTACCGCGGAGCCCAGGGTTCGATTCCCTGTACCGGAGTTTAATCTTTTGCCCATCAATGCTCCTTTTTGCTGGTCGCTCTTTTATTACTTTGCACTCAATATGAATTATTATGTATCTGTGTGCTACGGCTGCGTGCACGAGGCCAGTCAGTGATGCAGTAATGCAAGGATCAGCTGAGGACGAATGACCTTCGTCCATCACGTACTTCCTTCCATGTATGGACCCTTTCGCAAGTGGTAGTAGAAAACATACTTCTCTCTAGTCTAGCACTGGTACTCTTGTAAGACGCTCTGGACAGGTTCTCGATAACTCAATTTGTTATATCTAAGGAAATAGTACAAATGAAACCACTGATAAACAGGTTTGCTTGCTCAACAGAATTTACAAAAGAAATACACCCCAATCAACCCCCATGCTTCCTCTTCAAATGCCGAGTCAGATGATCGCGCCTGGCAAAATCCTTACCGCAATATCTACACACAGGTCTGGCCATGCTGATTCCCATCTTATCAGCCTCCACTGGATGATTGGTGCGGTAATGTCTGTTCAGTTCGCGCCTCCACTGGTGCCCCTTTTGACAGATGAGACAAATTTCTGGCTTTTCTACCTTCCGCTTCGCTCTCCTGGAGCTCGTGTTAGGATTAGGCAGATATAGAGATACATGTGACTTACTTCAGATCACATGGCCGAGTGCCAAGTTTCATCTTCGTTCGTCTTCCAGTATTCGTTGAACTTGCTACTTTATCGTCGGCCGTTTGCACTGGAGCATTGCCTGATACTTGCAATGTGCCTGGTCCTGTTGGGCTATGGGCCATCGATGTAGAAGAGGTGGTATAAGTCGAGGTGTAATCAGATGGCTCTGTGGTGATGTTTGGACTAGTCAAGGTAGTAGAAGAAGGGCATTCGATGGGCGTAGGTAACATCATGAAGCCCCAGTCCACGGGTGAGGTGTCGATGTCAGTATGCTCTAGAGCAAATAGCTCGTTCGGGTTACAGAAACTTTGGTTAATTGGATAAGTATAAGTGTCGGGTAGGTTATAGTGAATTGTATTCGTATCCAACCCCAGAAGTACGTCGGCAGTTTCTGCGTCATTCGTACAATATGCGAGACTCAGTGACAAGTTATCCCAGTCATCGTTTGTTATGTTAGAACTGAAGTTCGTTGTTCCGCTCATGACTAACGCATGGTCGATTAGTGTCCAACCGTCCATCTTTCTTCAGGTTGAACAGGACGTGCCACTGTGGCCACGTCCAGAAGAGTAGTAGTTGGTAGATTGAGAGTTGAAAGTTTTGATAGAGCTTGGTGTTGCTGTCCGTCTGGCTTTCGCAACGGACCTTTTAACGACTTGACCGGGTCAATCATGAGAGGTAACTGACATGGTAAGTTATCCACAAAATCACGATGGTAGTAAGAGCTCACTTACCGGAGTATATAAGAAGACAAGAACTATGGTAAATACTTGCACATTCGCGCGTTGCTGGAAATATACCTCAAGGCATCCATCGCATGGATTGGAGAGCATGTATTTCCGCTTACCCCTGCGCAGTAGAGAAGCGGAAATACATGTTTTCCAAAACATGGCCAAGATGTCTTGTGGTAAGAGTGCCCGCCAGCCTAAGCAATCATCAGTACTATTCACATGCATGATGTTCTGCGCACTCACGTTCGCGCGTTTTGCACAAAAGTCCATCCAAACTCACCGCGGGTGACACCCGGTATCTACCACCTGCGATGAGCTTGGACAGCTATAAAGGCGCCCGCACCGCCAGGAAGAGCCCCAATCTGCAAGCAAAGGACCATCTGCACATTGTGATCCTTTGCCTGCTTATTGGGGCTCTTCCTGGTGGTGCGGACACAGGTTGATTAAATATTATAAAGGGCCGGAAGAATGAGGCTATGTTTATGAAGAGGGGAAAAGAAAGCGAACCTCAGCGAGGGTAACATCAGGGTATATATATTATTTTGGTTTCCATCCCCAGCTCAGTCACGGATGGCTTCTCATTGGCAGGTTTGGAGGCCTTCGCATATGCGCGTTAGCGTCATATGATGAGTGGTAGGCCTCCCAAAACAAGGCGATAGCTACGTCTTGTACATAGAGACAGTGGTGGAATTCTTTTTGATTATATATCGCAGTTCAATGGAGCAGTCTACTGCCCTCGAAGTCGCTATACATCACATTTCAAGTTGAACCAGCTTAGTTAGGTAGGTACTCATTATCACTACATGGATCATCTGATCACTCGCTACTAACTCATGCTTGGGTACTTATCATATTTCTTAGTCTAATTGCTATTGGGGATTCGTATTTACAACTTCTCCTAAATGCTTTCAAACCTCTTCCAGACTATGTCGCTGCAAGGCGGAGGAGAGTAGCATGCTCGAGGGAGTAAGCTTCTTTAAACAATAGAAGTGTGTGGATAGCGTGTATGAGGACCAACCAAGGGCAACTATCTCGAGAAAAGTTTAAACAGCTGTATGATATGCCTGACCAACTAACTGCTCATCTACATCATGGCCCAACCCAACCGGATACCTAACTTTTATGAACGAGCCGAGGGCTACAATTGACAATAGCGTGAAAGAAGCGATACGTTTGTAAGGGGTAACCGAAGGATAGTGCAGCGGGAACGCCTTAAATTTGTTGGACTGGATGGTTCTGAAGAACGTCGAAAAGACGAATTGAGGCTATTCTGCACTACTAAAGTACATACTGTCTGGCGATCTTAACATGAGCAAAGAAACTCGATTGAATGGCCTGAAAATTATCGATCTTCTGGAATTCTCAACCTATTTCAGGATTTAAGCTTGAAAAGCACTATTCCCCCCCCCCAGGTTGAGGTTGAATCTGTTTCGACTCGTGAGGGTTTCGGCAAAGCTGACTGTACAGGCTGTTTGCATTGTCGATATACTGCTTTTGGAAGGGGAAAATACAGGCCTCGTATTATTTCTTGCAGACTTGCTCCGTAAGGAGGCCTTCGAAACCGTCCAGGCCGAGGCCTTTGGCTGTTGTATATACCGATTTCCAGTCCATATGGGCTTATTCTAAGCAATATATTCTCGGCAGAGAACGAGAAAAGCGCTTGTGCCTCTGATATCCTTATCACAGCCGTGTTCAAGATGCCTAGTCGCAGCCCTCTGGCTTGAGACTTCTGTTGGTAGGCATTGCTCCTCGAGGACTGCTCTATATCTTCCGTATTGTGGTAGCCTGGCCATGGCGAGTGAGGATGTCCTCGCACGCCGCCCACTCCAGCGATACATATCTTTCGAGGAAATGTAGCGGTGAATTCCCTCCTCAGCGCGGCGACCTACATCAGCCCTGGTTCTTGGTTGAGTAAATTCAATATTTCTTGGTATTATACCATTGACAGTAGTATATTTGTAACATCCCAAGGTGGTGCTGGAAAATTCCTCGGCCTTAGAGCTTGCATGATCTGTTTGGTAAGTTGCGGATCTTGCGTTCTTCTGCTTCTATATCCACCCTTATAGGCCAGCTGGCATATTTATCGTGTTCGGTTTGGTGGGCAGAGGTAGATTCTGAAGCTACTGTGGTGGCTTGAGGGTTCGGGGATGAAGGGGGGTTTCGAGATGGGGTAAGGGCGTCCGAGTTTTCAGCCATGGTAGCTAACTGGAAGATGTCGATTTGGGAAAAACCTAGCATTGCTTAAAGTCCAAAAGGTGCGTTTGGCGATGCTGAAGAGAGATTATAGTGAATAAGACAAAGGTATGAGGACGAAGGTATATATGTACAAAGGAATTTGTCTTTTGATGTGAACATGTTCTACCAAATAAGTCTCTATCTTTGATCAGCAGTGTAAGCACTGCTGATCTTGCAGACGTTCAGAGACCTCTGTGGTCAAACGTTTGACCTCGTGTGGTGTGTAAATGCTATCGAATTGTTCACGCAAAGGCGCAAAACATTGTATATAGATTGCTGATGGTTATGTTTGGCATTGGATCTAACGCCGAGATCATGGTAAACATGTGCTTGGAATCGCACACAGGACAAGATCATAATAGTTCTTCTGTACAGAGTATGTATGGAGTGATAATAAGGACGGACCCACGTCGGGAAAGGTCTCGGGCATCGAGCATATTGTCATCCCTGTAGAGTTGAATGACAAGTTGCACCGTGAAGTGTGCATTACCCTCGTTGGAGAATGAGGTGTCAAGAGGTGATACGGGGTTGTACGCATGCGAGAGAGAGCTTGGCCATGGCAAAGACGATGCTGCTCCAGGAATATACAGACCGAGCGCAAATGATTCATTCGACCTGTCAAAAGACATCGTGAGGCAAAAATGCAAAAGAAGAACTCCGGTACAGGGAATCGAACCCTGGGCTCCGCGGAACTTGATCTCTCAACTGAACGATGAGAGCGCGAAATGTTAGCCACTACACCATACCGGATGCTGATTCGTTGAGACAAGATGCTGAAATTCATCGATAGGTACCAATGACACGCAGCTAGCAATTGCAGTTACTGCATTTGCCAGTCCTCAGCGATGGTTGCTTCGAGGGCGTCCCGTCGGGCTTACAAGTCGCCATTTTCGATCTTGATAGTGCGTTTGATTGAGGTTGTGATGCGAGTTCAGGTGCGCAGAGGCTGGAAAACCCGAACGAGAAGAGGAGTAAATGTGTTCTTGAGAGCAACCGGGTCCTGCAGGAGTTCATGGGCCCAGCCATGCTCAGGCTTGTGTTCGTGTAGGATCTCAAAGCAACCAAGGGATAGGTATGCCATGTTGTTCTTCCAAAACTTGACGTCAAAATCCTTGCAGGAAAGAATGAGTTTGGCTACGATAGAGAACATATGACCGAGGTTAACCGTCTTTTCGGAGTGATACTTGAAACTAAGACCGAGTAAGTCTCGCATAATAATCCAAGAGTAACGGTTGGACTCTTGATGTAGGAAGATCTTCATAAGACCCTTAAGGTTGAGATTCGTGTTTGGAAGGTAAACAAACGCTACGATGGTGTTGGTGGCCGGTTCCGTATCGCCATATCATGATGCCGTTGGAATTGAGACTCATTCTTGATATGTGTCGCAGACAAGCCCTGCGTCTTCATTCCCTGTTCGTGCTTCTCACGATTTGACAAAAATGCGAAGATTTTCGAAAGCTAGCGAACATCTTGCGGCTCAACATTCGATGCTACACATTCTGCTATGAATGCCTCTTCTGCCTCCGTGAAGGCTTCGTGTGGGTGTCATTTGTGTATCCCTTTATAATACTCCTTGGATTGATAGCTGCGGCCGAGCGTACAACGCCGAATCCTTCTCAAATAGATTCAGAAGCTCAAGAATGACATGGACCCGTTTGTAATGAAGAAGTGTTCCTATGCAGTATCTCGTGATATTCCAATCATTCTCGCGAATCTGAACGGCCTTGTCGAGACAGTGAGGGGACTTGACTCCCTCGAATCACATTTAATCCTCTAGGCTCAGTTCTGGCCAGCAGAGTTACAGCCCTACAACCCGGTATGGGTTCTTCTTTTCGACTGTCAGAAGTCTTCTGTATCTTCCTGTACTCTTCAGTAGGGGGACATTCCCTCTGGCACTGCCGAAAGTGTGTCAGGAGCTCTTCTTTCCACAACAAGAAACGTATCCGTTGTCTTCTGGCGGCGATTGTATCGGTAGCTTCTCTTGATCCAGTCAAGTAGCCTTGCGTTCTTTCTTTTTCATGGGTCGTTTTGAAAGCTTTCGTTTCTTTGCCCTCCCTTTTCACGTCTCTTCCTATGACAGAGCAAATCCTCGACAGAGGTAAGCCATGATGTACGTCCCACAATCGGGGTACTATTTACCGGCTTGCGAATAAAGGTTGACAAACTTGTTTATGTCTGGCTTGTCAACTTAACTATGACCGTAACGTGAAGTAGTCTCTCAGTTGATGTTATCTTTCGTTGATTGGCGATAGAGGCTGTGTCCCTTGATCTATTTGGATAACGGGAGTGGTAATATGTCTGCTGACTTCGTTCCTCACCAATGTTGGAGTTCCATGCTTGGCCGACACCGGTACCGTGGTGGACAGATGAAACATTCTCTGGTAAGGGCCATCTTTTTGCGGCTCTCCTTGGGTATAAGATTGAATGGAATGACATTCGTTGTTGAGCCCTATGTATATACGATCCCTTATGGAAATAAAGATCTCCCTGTTGATCAGGTGCTTCAAGGGGCGGCGCCCGACTCGCAAATCCTGCTCGTGGGTGATATTCCCTGTCTCCCCAAGAACCACAGTCAAGATCTTTGCTCGGACCTTGATACCAGTGCCTCTCGTTTGGGGTAAGGAGACAAATTGATGTGTTCGTATGGAGACTGGTCCCAGTTATATTTGAATGTCTGTGGGATCACCGACCGCAAACGTGTTACAACATTTGATTGCTCGGTGAAGTATGCGTGTCTTATAGTTATAAGCGGGTGTTGACATACATTGAGAATAGCGCTGAAAATGTCGTAGTTTAAACGAATGAACTATGCCCTCGTTCATGGAGAGGACCAGCGGCCGACTTCTGGCTTCGTAGCTGATGAGTGTTTGGTTGGCACGGAAAATCGTCATCGGCCACTCCCCGAGCTCTTCGACCAATATGTGAAGTTGGCAAGCATAGATCGTGATTGCCATTGATGGAGGTGCCATGAGCCAGTTTTGGAAGTTCATTCCTGTGAAATTATCAAAACTGCTGGGTGGACTAGAAGTGGTCAGCATGTTGGAAGGCGTTTGGGCTCCCAAGTGTTAGTGGGATATAGAAGACGGAACAAAGGCACATATACTAGACATGCGGGTTCCCCACTCGATTTTGCCAATTCGTTAAATTCACTGTATCGTCCTTGCGCACTTTGTCGCCTTCTTTGGACAACCAATAATGTCGTTGTTCAAGGCTTCGCTTGACATGGAAGAGATGACTTAAATCTTAGCACATGTGGTGAGGCGACCTGGACGTGAAGTGATGTGGGATGTACTCTTCAACTAGCAAGATGCGACGACTGGGAAACATGGTATATGTCTAACGAAGCGAACATGGCGTAACGGATTTGGGGGCTATTTTGAGGCCAGAAATAACCGCAACCCTGTAGGTTTGTCTGATAATAGTAACCGACTGTCTGGGGCATGTATACGTATAGCAGCAACGACTTCGTGCACAAGTTGGTTCTCCCAGTCCGATACCGGGGCTTTTTATTCGACGACAGAAAGATGGTGATATCGAGAGTATGGTCGTAGATGCTGTATCTAACAAGTAATTCGATGATTGCGAAGTGGAAGAATGTTGTCATGCTTCTGAGAGGAAAGAAGATTTTGCGACAGCCGAGTATATCGGTAGAGGCATCACATCTCTGTGCTGATCGTATAAGTCCTGGAAGACGCAGTTTACGAATAGATAGGTCATCCCCAATAAATACCATTGGGTTGACTGGCATGCGATAAAATCTTGGAGGTAGGTAGGAAGCCAGTAATTTATACCTCAGATTCCTAAGTTTGCAACAAATCAGGTATTGAGACCTGTAACAGTGGTTTGCCGATCTCAAGCGCACTGAGACTTGCGTATGATTTTGGCAGGTTCTTTCGTACTCTAGTATGATGGATGGGGAGAGAGAATGGTGAACAGGACTGTCGACAGGCCTGTCATCCTTTTATTTCTCCTTGGTCTAACACCAAATTACCAGTCTCTTCATGGAGACGAGTTAAGTCTTCCAAGAGACAAAGTATCTGTGCTGTAGCCCTGGAGGCCGCAATACTGTTGAGAAAGATCTGTTGGACGCAGCTCACTAGTGATGCTCAGATCATCTGGTAAATGCTTTGAGGGGTTTGACGTGTTCGTGTTTTCGGCCTTGCGTATCTCTGCAATACTGCCATGGTATTTCTGTTTTGCAACCAAAGCTCTTTGGAACTGTCTAGTTAAATAGACAGTAGCTTCTCCAATTGCTTCTATCAGGTTTAAGAAAGCACGCAAGATTGCCATAACCAAGGTCTTTGTAGTCACCTTGAAAGCAATCGATGATGTATGTGCTGGAGGAATTAAAAGTCGTTCGTTTTTGCCAGGATGCTAGAACTCCATGGACTCTCTTCAAATACCTTTACAAAAGGATTGTAGACCGACAGAGGCAAGACGAGCAGCGTCTACCAGCTGATGCACAAAGTTATTATTGAGCCTCTTGAGCTGTTCCTCTGAGGACTTCACAGCACCTCGCGCAGTCAACTGGAGGATTTCGTTGAATACACTGGCAACGGAGATGATGAAAGGCTTGGCTTGTTTTTGAAGGCGGTGACCATCGACTGTAGCAACATTCGATCCGCTCATTTTGTGTGGTGGGATAAAACAAGAGATGCCATACATAGGTTTTCATACACAATCAGCCTGTAGTATGGAAGCGGAGGAAGGCATATGGGGAACGTCTTCGGTGTCCTGTTCTTCCATGATGCTGGCAGACATGAGACGAGTAAAAACACTCAGATTAGGAAACACACTAAGATGAGGAACAGGGTAATAGAAACAAATCCCCCTTCATATTCTTGACTATGTCTCTGTTAAAATAGGCTGCATCGTTGTAGTCAATACTCCTCGCCAAGTAGATGCAACACAGGCTTCCTGAGAGGATATTTCGACAAATATGCTGTCAAATTTTGTTTCCATCGGTGTCAATGAGACTCCCCGCTGCACTTCGAGCTTCTTCGTTGCCAGTATGGTCTACGACTGGGTATGCTGAAATGTGTCGATATTGCTAGCCACGAACAATGGTCCTGAGACCAATTGATCAGATGCTTCACAAGAAGTTGTGAACGTCGATGCCTATGGTATCGAACTTGGTCCAAGAGGACATAGGAAATAGTGTATGTGTGGCTTCCGATTCTGAGCTTATGGTCCTACTGTTGGAGTCCAGACAGTATCTTCTTTGGCAGTGATGGTCGTTTACTTTCGCTTTTCTGAGGTAGACGTGGTAGAGAGGAAGGCGGCAAGTACTTCTCATGGCGTGCGCATGAAAGGCTTGTTTTGAACTTTGATAGCCGCAGTATATAGGTGTTGAATAGTTGCTTATGCACATATCAGGTGAAACAAGATATGCGTCCCGAACATCCTATCCTGCCTAAAGATACAAGGCATTGTTCATCCGTGGTAGACGAGAAGCAGCAGCATACAGCAACAGGGTGCAAGTGACATGTTTTGCCATCGGCTCAGAATTTGAGTCTGCTGTTTCAAATGCCCAAGTCCATTTGTAATCTTCTTCGGTTGTCTGCTTTCAGCATGTCCTTGCACTCTTGTTCAGAGACTGTCAAGTCGTGCGTCTTGTCGAAATGGTCCCTTAAGCGATGGAACAACTCGCGCTTCGGTGCCAGGCGGTGACAATCACGGTCATTCGCGAGGCTTCTGTGGTGTCGGTGTATAGTATAATAGTTGAGCAACGACTGGGAAGAGGTGCTGTG